CTTTTCTTGTCAATCTTTTTTGTCAGTCTGATCTACAAGGTCCCAGGCAGAGAACTTAGGAGGGTAGAAGGAAAAATATTTTTTTCCTCTCTTACAAAGTAATGGCAGCCTAATTCCTCAAAGGCTACTGCTCACCTTGTTATAGCCCTTCAGACCTGCTGCAATGTTCCAATTACCTACTAAGGCAGATTGCTACTTCAATAGCTATTGAACCCTTCTTTGGGAACTAAACCCTAATTATAGCTGGCACAAAGTCACTTGGAATAAAAACAGTCCAGCCTCCATGAAAGCTATATGTAGCCACTTGACTTTGTTTTGACCAATGAGATATAAGCATAAGTGTGTTTGCAAAATCTAGAAAATATTCTTTTTTAATTTTTAACTTTACAGTAGGTGTATATATTTATGGGTTACATGAGAAGGGAAATATCCTTAAAAGAAGTTGGTATGTCCTGTTGCCTTCTTCCTTCCTGCTGGCCAGAGTGTAAACATGTTTTCTGCAACTGGAGTAGCCACCTTCCTCTATGAAGTAGAATCCAACACATTGTTCTTTTTGAGCAACAGATAGAGAGAGAGAGAGAGAGAGAGAGAGTCTCACTCTGTCATCCAGGCTGGAGTGCAGTAGCATGTCATAGCTCGCTGAAACCTCAAACTCCCAGGCTCAATCAATTCTCCCGCCTCAGCCTCCCCAGTAGGTAGGACTACAGGTGTGCACCACCATTCCTGGCTGATTTATTTTTTATTTTTGTAGAGAGGCGGTCTCACTATATTGCCCAAGCTGGTTTTGAACTCCTAGCCTCAGGCAATCCTCCTGCTTCAGCCTCCCAAAGAGCTGAGATTACCAGCCTGAACCAATGTGCCCATGGAGATGTTATTTTAGATTTACTGAAATCCACTGCTGAAGCCAACTCTAATCTGAAACACAGTTTGAGTGAAACGACTCAGGAATTTAAATTCAGAAAAGAATGTTTAACAGACTTTATTAAAGCATACTCTGACACAGCTTCCCTTCCCATCCATAAATTCTACAAATACAATGGATGAAAGAGGAGAGAACCCAGGAAGTGAAAACTAAATGTCAATGATAAGGCAAACATATCAGTAATGAAGGAAACCCAAATGGATAAACAAGTTATTCTCTGAAAGTAGGCTGCATGTTCGGTGGAGGGCATTAAACTTGTTGAGAATAGACCCCATTAGAGCTGCAACGCTGCTTCCCAGGGGTTCTTATGCTTCTGAAATTATTTTTGCTTAATTTCAGAGAAACTTTCCTATAGAATCTAATCTGATTTTCACAGGTAGAGTGTTGCATACAACCAAAAAGGCATTTAAATGCCTTTGGGAATTCAGAAGAGTAGTTGTTCTGCCTGTAAAGGGCTGAAGGAATGCAGCTGACATTGGCTTGATGAGAATAAAAGAAGAAAGACCATGCTTTGATGTTTTTAAGAGAAGGAAAATAGTACTCTCCATGATTACAGTGATGCTATCTCATTGAAAACCACATTCTTAAATATCCCAGTGTGCAGTAAAAAATATTCCAGTACATCATATATTCCCCTCCTCCACTTAAATAGTATCAAATGCATGTCACTGGATTATTTTTTCTTTTACATGTTAAAAGAGAGAAATGGACAACAGAGTATGGACAGTATTACCTAGCTCCTGGTTTCCTACCCTGAGGTCCAAGAATGGGTTTCAGGTCATAACCTCCATAAACTGTATGCAAAACCTATGTGTCAACCTTTTTCTGGGTAGAGAGTCCTTAGCATGTCAAATTCTCAAATGAGTTCAAGAGAATGAATGAAGGTTAGATGGTGCAAAATACTTCTAGAGACCATAAACCTTGGTGATGGGCCACTGTCAGACTGCCACAGGAAGTACCCATGGGCTCATCACCTCCTGCCAAGTTCAAAACCAGCTTGGGCAACATAGTGAGACCCTATCTCTACAAAAATAAAAAATAAATAGCCAGGGCAAGCTAGTGAACCTGAAGGTTGATGCTCCTCACAGTGAGTCCTAAGTGAAGACCCTGGAGAGGTCTAAGAAATGGTGTAATAATGAAACCTACAGGAGAAAGGCAAATAATGACCATCACCCAACACTGAAGTACTCTCTAAGTAATCATTTTCTAATACTGTTATCTTTGCTAAGTTACCAGCAACATTTTAAAATAGTGTGGCATGTGTCTATTGGGTCTTAACATTTACCTTGTTCTGAGATATGATTGGCTTTATAAAAATCTCGACAGTGTTGAGGTGTGTCACTCAGTAATGGTGCTCATTTACCTCTCTCTAAAACCCAGAGAATGATTCCAGACACCCCAGCCTTTTACAAATGATGGTTTGATGGCTGAATTAGAGAACACTTGCAGAAGTGCCTGGAGATATTTCCAAGAAAATTAAACCTTGACACCACATCCTCATTACTGTCAGTCCACCAGCTAGACTATTAAAGCTCAATGTACATATAACCAGTCTCTCACCTGTTTTCAAATTGGAGAATTCATAAGGCATTTTCATTCTATCAGAAGGACCCTTGAACTTAAAGAATCTGGAAATCCTCTGTTGTTATTATGAGCATTTCATTTTACCTCTATTTGCTATTGACCCCAAAAGAGTGTTCCAAGTTACTTTATCATATACATTTATGTAACCATTATCCAACATTATTTGGTCAAGGTCATTCATGAGGGCAAAAACATCCCCAGTAGAAAGAGATGGGTTATGTTACAAACCTGCTGTTAACCTTTCCTTTCCAATAATAAACGCCAGACAAAGGTCAGGGACTTTGTTTTAGTCACTGCCTGGCAATTAACAGGTAGTCGCTAAATATTTGTTAAATAAATAAATGAAACTCTAGGATGTCAATAATGCATGGCAGTCACAATCTTACTGATATCATTTTGAAATGCTGGTGGAACTTGAACTGGTTAAAATTACTAGTTGGAAATACACATACAATCTAATAATTTGAAAATCATTTTAAGCTAGTTTCAAACACATTTTGGACAATGTTAGTATTTTGCATACATATAATGTACCAAATGTTATCTTTTTGTGTGTTATCTTAAAAACTGCATTTTTAATTAAAAATAATTTTATTGTATTTTCTAATTACAAAAGCAATACATATTAGTTGCATTTTTAGCATGATTTTATTAATCCAGGAGATAAACATTTCTCCAGAGAAATGCATCTCTTGGTTTACACTTATAATAAAAATCAATGAGAAACAAAGTATTCAAAAAAATCCACTGTCCCTTAACATCATTATTTTCCTTTTACAGAAGACAGATATCTACATTCTGGAAAATTAAAATTAACTTAAGCTAATATGACATTAGACTTAAAAGGTCTACCTATCTACATTTCTACAAAAAAAAAAAAAAAAAAAAACCCGACAACACAAACTATATTACATTCTGATTAAATACATGCAAACAGTGACATGAAAACTCAAAAACGCCTTACATGGATAGAATAAATAACTAAATATAAACATTGTTTGATCATCAAAAGACAGTTTTTGATGCAGAGAGAAATCCATATCACAACAAAATCATTACAGTACAGCATGTGGTAGGCAGCCAGATGAAAATCATCAGCTACAGGGTAAGAAGCCTTCCTGAAGGCAGCTTTGTGCATAGAAAAGAAGCTCCTAGTTGCTGGATGCTGAACCGCCTGCAGCCCAGCTCATCACATCTTAGGTAACAGAGTCCTGTATCATCCACAGTATAAAAGAACCATTTGAGAAAAGCTACATTTCGTTACTTTTCTTGCTACTCACCCTTTTGCCCAGCAAGTGAGCATTTGAGTGAAAAGGAAAAAAAAAAAGAAAGAAAAGTAAAGCTAAAAACATACTATTCTTTAAAAAAATAGACTTTCCTTGCAAGATATAATATCCTGTGGGGATTCCATATGCTCTTCAGGAACAGTGACATGTCAAAATCACATTTACAGAGATACATTCATACATTTGACAATCACTAGGGAAGAGTTATCTAATTTGTCTGTAAGGGAAAACAAATGACTAATGCACTGAGGCGCTGGTCCATGACCCCGTCACCCTCACTTTTACATGAAAGACCAGTGACCACAATAGTGACAAGTGGCCAAGAGGCAGGTATCAGGAGACTACTGCCCTCCAAGTCACAGCCACAGCTCTCTCAAGGACTGCATCAGGGTGACAGAGCCCACAGAGGGGCAGGTCTCCTTCCACCTGTTCTGAAGCCAAAACACTCCCTGATCGGGCTGATTTTCAAGGAGCTTTCTTGACTTACTCATGTGATATACATGGCACTCTACTTTTCTCTCTAGCCCACGTTCCCAACCACCTGGGAGAACCACATCAGCCCCATCTTGATGCATGAGAGGCACATGCATCAAGTTGAAAATACAGTAGCTACAAAAGGAAACTTAGAAGATGGGTACCCATTTCGGGGAGTCTTGCAGTCAGATCCTGTCCTGAAGGGCCTGGAACAAGAAAAAGTTCTCTAAATGAAAAGGTTGCTACTGACACTGTTCTTCTATCACTGCAGAAGATGTTTTAGGGACTGAATTTCTCAGAAGACTCTCCATTCACCTGATTTGTCTCTTGCTTCCAATGTGGCAAATGGTACCTGCTAGTATATGTATATTAGACTCTAGCCTGCTCGCCTGGAACAGATGCAGAGACCAGCTCTTACCTTCTCACTTGAAAAGTACATCTGAAGAAGTGCATTTGCACTTTGGGCAAAAAAGAGCCAGCAAAGGATGCAGACAGTCACAGCTAGGATGTTAAATGCCTATACAGAATGAGATTGACCGACTTGGACCAAACCCAGCAAAGAGATGACAAAAAGTCATTGGTTCAGGTTGCTGAATGTTTTGAGGCACAGGAAAGTTAAACTTTTCAGTGTAACTGATATTCCCATTAGGCAGGAGGGGAGGAAATGTGGTGGCGTTTCTCCAGGCCTCGTTTTGGTGGCCCCCAAAGTCCAGTTCCCACTCAACTTCCTGTTCTAGCCTCTGTGGAGCCGACATCCCAAGCTTTTCAGTAGATCCCAGTCCTTTGGAGAGGTGTGGCCTGAACATCCACATCATTAGCAAGGAAACATGGGGGATGCTGCGGAAGGGCGTCTGCGCACAGCCAGCGTGGTCTCTGCTGCCTACAAGCCAGAGAGGAAGAGACACAAAGCTATTACACCACCGCCAAGCAGCGAACATAAAAGTAGAGCGGAATCTTTCCCCTACCTTCCCTCCTCCCTCAACCTCCTCATTCCCACATCCATACACATGCATGAATACACTGGCGTGCCTACACACACACCTTGACTCTGGGGAGTCAGGCAAACTCGAATGGCGTAGTCATGGGCTTCTTTCCCTGAGGAGCTGACCTCGTGACCATATTGGACCAGGCACTCCTTTCAGACCTGGACCATAAGCTACATATCCAAGATATGAAGCAGAAGCAGTCAGGATCCCTCTGGTAGAAGGAGATCGTGTAGGCTACGTCAGCCAAAACACCATGCCAATAAAGTGACACTGTAATCAGGGGCTACTTGGCTTCTGAGGAGGGTCCCTACTGTTGTAGTTATACGAGTCCATTCTGAAATCAGTCATTAGAGCAGATCAACTTCTTCCCAGTAACTGGCATCTAACATTTTACCTTGTGGGAAATTCTTCCCCTAGCGTGGTGCTTCTCAAATGTTAAATGTGCATATGAATCACCTGGTGGTCCTGGTAAAACGAGGATTCTGACTCAGGAGGTCTGGGATGCGGCCTGGGATTCTGCATTTCTAATGAGCTTCTGGTCTTTAAGGTAACAAGGAATAAGCCATGAGAAGGGTAAAACAATCCCATCTGTATTTCCTGTCTCAAAAGAAATTAAGTGCTGTTTTATACCCGTGACCATAATCTCTTTAGAAATGGGCAAATCACATTTTAGGAGGAACAGTCTACTAAGTGCTAAAAAATCTCCAAAAGTTTTCTTTATAATAAATAACATGAGTTACATATTGCTAATGGGAATTACTGCATAGTGCAGTGAAATGTAATTGTTTCTTAATTCTTGCATAAGTGCCAACAGGTACACATAACTATTGAAGTTCATGTGCTTTCCATAATGTTCTTCCTGTCTTCCCCAGAAGGTGGCAGAAGAGAGCCATGGATACACCATGATCGTCAATTACAGTGAGAACTCATGGCTTGTCTTGAATCTGAATCCTTGTGCAGCATGAGGCAAAGTTTTAGGGGTGGGGAAGGGATGGGAAACACAACTGAAAATACTAAACAAAAAACCCAGAAGCCTTCTGATAGGTTCAAGTTACTCAACAATTTTATTTACCCATTCTACACACACACACACACAAAAACACATTTCAAATACAGTTATGCACACTTTAAATGGATCTGAGTGGCATACTTTGTTATCAGTGTCACCCAATTAAATCAGAATGTTGCTAAAGACTTACGTTCCTACTTTCAATAGAGCAGTGCCTAGGAAATCGGCAGCAGAACTCTATTCCTAGGCTTCCCAATCTGACCCATTCCCATTCAACCCAGAGATGCTCAGCCCCACATAGCAAAAGCATCACCATACCAGCGTAAGTTGATCTTCTTGTTACGTCAACATAATATAAAATGTACATAAGCAATTCAGATACAAAAACATTGCATAGGTAAACATTGGTCACAGATATCCAGTGAAAGGCTTACTGGAAATAATACTTTTGCCAACCCTTAAAATCAATTTTTAAATGCCAAATTTTCTGCTCATTTTTACTTACTAGATTAAGTGTTAAAGCCAAATGCATGGCTGACTAAAAATAGCAGCCCTATCCAATGGAATACAACATTCCAGAACAGGGTAAGCTGGCGACACAGAAGCTTCAGAAACGAACAGCGGAACTGAAGTTCTGCCCTAAAGCAGGGGACTGGATGAGATGACTTCAAGTAAAGGTAACAACTCCAGGCTCTAAACAGGCATTCCCTTAGCTGAGTTCACAAAATACCATAAAAGTGATGTATAACCTTTATCTTTTACAAAATGATGAGAATTTGGCCACTACTGTATAAGAAATGTCTATTTAAAATCATAGTGTACAGAACTCCCCTATAAAGAAAACATGTGGAGTGCTTAATTCCTTTCTTTGTTAGACACATTTAATAGAGAATTACCATAATGTACATACACTTCAGTGGGTACAATCAGAAAGCAGGCAGACTGTGAGCTTACAGACCCTATAACGTTAGTCAGGCAACACCCAGATTTTACTAGTCTATCAGTCAGCTCACGGACACTACTAGAGTCTGTCAGTCAGTCAACACATAGACATTACTAGAGTCTGTCAGTCAGTCAACACATAGACACCACTAGAGTCTGCAGTGACAAACAGATCCTACTAGAGTCAGTCAGTACACAGATCCTACTAGTCTATCAGTTGGTCAACATATAGACACTACCAGAGTCTGTCAGTCAGCACGCAGACACTGAAGTCAGTCAGCACAGAGATCCAACTAGAGACAGTCTCCTGGACAGTATGGGTCTAAATTAAATCCCTGGACACACTTCTGATATCTGTGTCACCTTCAGGGAAAGTCAATTCTACCCCACCAGTGTTGCAACCTGACTCAGTTGTTATATATTTTCAATAAGTCAAAATACATACTAGAAAAGCTGGGTAAATCTGTCAAATTTCTTGACAATGAACACAACGTGGCTTACAGGCTTGGCAAAGACAATGGAATGTGCATAAGATTACATAACCCAGATACAATTCTTCTGATTACTGGATACTTTTTCCCTTGCCCATTGGCCACTCCAACCACCAATGAGTTTCTGTCAATTAAGATCTCCTGCTCACAAAAAAAAAAGAAAAAAAAAAGTAACATAGATGAATTTATTTCCAAACAGCTATATCATATGTTTCTTCAAAATGCCAGTGTCTCTGAAGACCAAATGTGGGTTGCAAAGAGGATTACCCAGATCCTCATATGGAATACTCACCCATTCAGTCTAGGGGTACAAATATATTGTGTCCTTAACTCCAACTTCTTCGGAAACAAACAAACAATAACAACAACAACAGAACACCAGAGGCAAAGATATAGGGCAGATCCCTAGTACCATGCAAGTTTCTAGAAGCTTGTCTTATTCTACTTTACAACTCAATGTAAAATCATCCCTTTACCAAAACACAACAACAATACAGATAAGAGCTAAATTCCAATTTAGGGATTAGGAGATAAGAAGAGAAGTAGGCTCTCTAAATCTGCTTTAGAATTCTCTTTCAAATCTGTCATAGACTTGAAGTAAGAATAAGAAAACAGAATAATTTCCCTTTCCCCACTTTAGACAAGTAAATTAAAAAAAAAATTTTTTTTTAGAGGTGAGGTCTCACTATTTTGCCCAGGCTGGTCTCAAGTGATCCTCTGGCCTCAGCCTCCCAAGTATCTGGGATTACAGGTATAAGCCACAGCAACTGGCTTCTTCCAGTAGATTAAATGCTAATGTCTTTACCTATTTCTCACAAAACAAAACTTACAGCCTCAGCAGAGAGTACTTTAAGTCCATTTTTATTTTGTAGGACTTGTGACAGACATAACCATAGTAATGTATACAGACTACCAATATGCATTCAAGTAAGAAAACCAGGAGAGAAAAGATGAGAAGTAGAGATGAAACTTCTCTAAAATTTGGAGTAAGAGCTCTTTTCCATTCTACATTCTCCTGGCTTCTTCCTGCTGGACTTTTCTGAAGGGATCTTGCTTTAGAAACTAAAGGATGCTGAAGCCCTTGCTTTTCAAATTCCAATTTCTCATGTCCTGTCTGAGGATAAGACCACCTCAGCTCCTCTTCTGGAGAAAGCAAACTAGCACGGGGGAGAGTGGGGAAATAGCGGCAGGCTGAGAGCCACAGTGAACATCCCATGACCTGTCTCTAACGCTGGGGTTAATGACAGGTTAATACAATGCTAGCTTGTTAGAGAAGTCCCCTCTTGCTAGGAGTAGGTACAGTGTTAATCCAAAGTCTGTGGAAAAGTGCTCCCTCCTCTCATTCACTAGCTCTGAATTACTCTCACCTCACAGCAGAAGAAAGGCTGAATGCCCATTTGGGCTACAGATGCCAGCATCCAAGCGAATGTAGACAATGCAATCTTGTAAAAGTGCCAAACATGCCTCCCCAATCATATCTCATTCTCACGTTGGTGGTGGTGGGGGCATCCCCATCCCCTAATCCTCGTAGTCTCATAGCCATAGGACAACAGGAAAGTCAGGAGAAGTGATGTGATGGTGAACACTTCTAGACTCAGAGTGTTGCTGTAATGTAAATGTCCATTTGTTATAAATTACATGTCCTGTCTCTTAAAATAACCTTCCTCTGGGCAAGGACCTTTTCTTCTACTTCTATGTATCTTTCCCCTATCCCTGCCCGCACGGGCCCAAAGCTCCACAAAGACACTAAGTACACGTTATATAACCACTAAACAAGAATAGCAGGTTACTTAACATATTGGACACAATTTTGAGAAGAACCTACGTAAGCAGCCTTTAGAAGCTGGCTGTGGTATCCTACTTGGGACACATGAGTAAAGGACTCGGGGTCAGGAGGCAGTTGCCAGTGAAGACAACCTTTATCATCCTGCAGGGTCTGTACCTCTCCCCAGGGTGCTTAAAATCCAGAGGCAATTATTTAATTCAGTGATTTGTTCCACATCACTCAGCAGTGTAAAGGGTTAAAGATGGGACTAGAACCTAGAATAACCCTCAAACACAGCAGCCTGCCTTCCAGGGGGTTATATCATTTAACATTATGATCTGCTCAAACATCAAACCCAAAGAACTGTCCTCTCAGGATGATGAGGAATTCAGAATTCCTAGGCTGACACTTTTGTCTGAGGAACTATTATCCCAGTATTTTTCCACCTAACTTTCTAAGGTGGAGTTCTTAACCCGGGCTATGAATCAGAATCATCTGGGAAGCTACTTAAATACATGCAAGTCCAGACCCAGACCCCAGAGATTCTGAGTCAGTATTAAGCATAAGGTAGACACAGACATGTTTATGATTCAACAATTCTAAAGGAGATTCTAAGGAAAACTCCTGGATGAGAACGACAGCAAAAAGTCTTCCATTACCAAATGAAAACACCCTTGGAAAACAGCTAACTTCTTCCCACTGGCTACCTCTAAAAGACAAGCTGATAACTTTAAGGTGGGGAGTCACCTATCTCTTTTTAAAATCCCATAAGAACCCTAAACTTGCCTCTCAAAAAAACATACATATATTTGTACATTTTGCAGGCAAAATTGGGAAAGAGGATAAGCCATCAAGGTCATCAAGGGGCTAAGAATTTCTTCCCTGAAGATTTTACGTTTAACCCTACAAAGAAAATGAAATGACAGAAATGAATAGAGAAATACAAACAGTTAAGAGCTACATCCCACAGGGTTCCAAGGACTTCTCTGGACATCAAGATGAGATAGTTTCTCCTTATGAACAAAAGAATACTCCAATGAGAGAGATTAAATTCATCATCAAGCTTTTCCACATTTGGGGGAAAAAAATGCTCATATAAAAACTATTGTGTTTTGACGTTTATTTCTTCTAAAGGAGAGTGTGCTGAAAGTATTCAAAAATAAGCAGTTTTAGTGAACTCTTCTCTGCCTCTTGCCTTGAGCAATTCAAACATCAGTGGTGACTCCTGAATCTAACTGCCCTTCTAAACAGCCCCAGAGGATACTGGATTGGCAGGAAAAGTTGCTGTGATTGGCAAAGAACCTGAGAGCCATGGGAGAAAAGATATGACTACTCACCAAGAGTCCTGTAAGAGCTAGAGCCCACCCTACTCTCCTAAACCCCACTCTGCGGACCTCAAAAGACCCAGGCCTGACTAAGTTAAAAATAAAAACCAAGACATTTCCCACATGCTCAGAGCCAGATTCCCCCAGGGCAACAAAGACTTAGGACTGTTTCTCATGAAAGGAGGCAAGAACTCTCACCCTATGTCCACTTGCAAGCTCGAGAATATTCTGTGGATGTTCTGTAGCCTAGGCTGGCCCTTGCAGGACCTAGCTGGAGAGAAAGAGAGAAAGGAAAGGAAAGACTCCTCCAGTCCAGATCCATTTAGACCCACTGCAGAAAGCATCAACTGGGCCAGACTTGTCTCTTGCCAATCACCCCTTCCTTCCTAGACAGACACCACAATGTCATGCATTACACTGGACAATCCAGAGGGGACATGAAAGTGGGGAAAGAAAGCAGTCAAGTAAGGACTGTGAGGAAAACACACAATGAAGAGACGAAAGTGAAGGAAAAATAGACTTTTGTCCCCGCACTGCTCACCCGCCCTCCATCCCCCAACACTTCGCCAACACGAGGACATTAGTGAAGTAAGACACCAGAGAACAGAGAGAAGAACCAAGAGTGTGGGGCATGCTCAGCCCCAAGGGGGCCTTTTTCCTCCTCCTCCAGACCATCCCATCTGATAATCTGTCCTAAAAGACTCAATTTGCTAACTTGCCCCTGGGTGGAAAGATGTTTCAAACTGGAGAACAGCTAAAGTTGTCCTATAAACACGTAACCTCATGTTCTGTGTTAAGATTCATGGTGAAGTGTCAGGGGTGGGGGTGGAGGGAGGAAGTTAAATGACTCCTTGGTGATTAGTGGCAAAGGCAGGAGGCCAGGGCTGGAGGGAAACACACGGTTACACCACCGGAATGCTGACTTGGGTCTTCGGCTAGTCGGCCCCTTCTTGCAAGTCCTGGGCACGGAGAGGGCTGAGGGGCTTGAGGGGCCGGCTCCCAACACTGTAATTTCTTGGACGCCTTATTGTATTCGAACTGGACAGAGGCGTAAAGCTGTTCCTTCTCATCCTTACAGGGGTTTGGTTCTTGGGAAAGTTGTTCTGATTGGAAATGGAGGGACACCACACAAATGAAAGCCAAGCCAAAAGCTCACTCATACAGTTAATAATGCGCTTGTAACCACAACAGCTTCCCTCACTCCTGCTCCTCTGCACACAGGCTCCCTCATAGGCACGGGCCATGGTCTGGCCTCCTAGCATCAGGGAGCTAAAAGGGAGAAGCTTCTTGAGCATAACATTCTAAAGCAGGAAAAAGACCCAAAGAAAGGAAGGGGCTTATTGAAGACCACACAGATTACCAGGGACCGACTTAGGAACGAACCTAAACCTCCTGACCCTCACCTTATAGGCTCCTTTGGACTCTGCTTTCCAAAGGGACACTTGGGGTTGGAGCGGGGTGGTAATTTGCATTTCACTTCAGCCAAACACTTTCCATATTTAATTGAATTTCCAGGAGGCAGCATTCAAGGTTAAGACTCATGAAAGGGGTACTAATTTTAAAAAATAATAATTCCAACATCACTTTCAGACGTAGCGAACTACGTTGGAAGTAAGTTCTGAATCTGTTTCCCTTTTGTACATAAAAGAAACCCCAGACTCTTGATGCCAAAGCTTCAAAGACTCAAGGTGGCAGGGAAACTGGCATGGTCATCGTGGGAAAATACTTACAGTTGGCTTGTCACGGTGCGTGTTCACAGCCTCCACGTTAAGTTTAATTGTTTCCACTTTGCACCCTGAGAAAACAGAGGAAAGAGAGGACTTAAGGAAAAAGGTTCAATGGAAAATTCCTTAGTTTCATTATGGGAAAGTATACCACAAAGGAATGTATGCATTTTGCAATACACATAGTCATGCATACATCCCTTTCAAAACAGAAGGCACTGATGGAGCTTCCCTGGTGTATAGGGATAATGAAGCTGAACTCTAGGCAAACCTTAGAGAAAATTCTGACCTTCCTCAATTCCCAGCTCCCGCCAGCCCCTATGCGCATAGTTACCGTAGGCCACAGGAGTAAGTTTGAAGATGGTATGGAGAGGGCATCTCAAGTATGGTAGCTCATCTGAAAACAGAAAGACCAGGTGAGGGAAGTCTCTTAGTATTATGGAGTAAGGTCAAGTTAGTGGAAGAGACAATCTACAGAGCTCATGAGTTTCCCTTACTCTGACCACCTCTTAGAGTTGTACAACTCCTCCCTTAAACTCCAGACCACAAAGCCACCCAACCTTCTGAGTGGCTAAGGAAGGAAATAGGCCATCTTAGATCCTTCCATGCAGGCAAAACAGGAAGAAGTACTGTAGCCAGAGAGCCCAATGGAAGGGGTTCACCTGCGTACAGCAAAGACCCGTAATACCTGGCCACAACAGCTTCCCAGTAGCTCAGGATGCTGAGCTCAGCCTCCACAATGCAGGCTTCCCAGGAGCTCTGGAAGATCGGGAAGGGAAGTATAGAAGAAGGCAGTGGCACCTTCTTACTTCCCTTACCCAGAAACAACTGCTGCTTCTAAGATACCACCCTCCTAGTAAGCAGCGTGGCAGGCTGGGGATATTCAACCACTGTCCTGATGCTGCCAGGAGTGTCAGCGTGACACTGGCCTTTGAGCCAGGCAGGATCAAGGAGCACCAGTAGCAGCCACTCTCCATTGGAAGCTCTTGTAGCAGCAGAGCGAACTCAGCAAGTCATTGACCTAGTGGCTGCTGGGAGCCCCACACTGCTGTCTGGAGAAAGTACTCTAATTTGAGTGGAGATAGGGAGGTCTGTTTCCCAGGAATCCTGGTGCCACTGCAAGTCCAGCCCTCTCCCCCTGGATGTGTCTCCCAGCCCCTCCCTCAAAGGCACCTGCGCCCTTATCCAAGAAGTAGGCCAGGAGGCAGCGCATGACAGCCTGGTGGGAGATGACGAGGACATTGCCCTGACGTTCCAGCTCCATGATGACAGGCTCCAGCCGCTGTACCAGGTCCTGGTATGACTGTGGAGGGAAATGGGGCAGGCTGGCAGAAGCCCAGGTGCAAGTTGGCAGCCAAGTCAGTGGCTGGACCTTGGAGACTAAAGGCCACTTCTTCCTCAGCTGGCTTTCCTCCTGGAAGCTCAGTGAGTTCATATCACCTGCCCCCAGCCCTGGTGTCTCTTGAGAAAACTCAGATCTTTCAAGAGCAATATTTAGACCAAGAAAACTATAGGTTAAGAAAAGGAAGTGTGAGTTCAACCTGTGTGTTTGTGCTTTTTCTTCCCACAGATTCATTCAGGCACTGAGACAACAAAAGATTCCTAGGGGTTTCCTGTACCTCCGCCACTCAGTTTTATTTACTTTTGGCTCACACATCCCTACAGTATGGAAGCCACTTAGACAAGGAAATAGCCTAAAACACTCAAGACGAGAGAGGAATAATTCCTATCCCATATATTTACTTGGAGACTCCACTTATGTGGGGGTGGGATTGAGAGTACAAGGAAAAAAAGAAATAAAAATGATTGTGTTGATTCTAAAACATATTGAACACAGAGGACGCCTTGTCACCCTTATCTCTGGGAATCTTAACAATTAATGAGGCATTCGATTGTCTAAGCTAAATGAAACCAAAATGACCCAAGGGAAGGAAGATAAATGACGCCTAGAACCTCCAAATCACGTTCAATCCTTCCCCCAAATTAAAGCTAAACCTTCAGCAAGGGGCTAGGCAGTCACTTTACATGATAAAGGTGTCTTACCTCCCCACCAGGATATCGATACAGATACTTCTCTTGATCTCGAAGTGCAAACTCTTCTGGGTACCGCTTCTCAATCTCGGCATAGGTCATCTCTTCACACACGCCCTGCAAAAAGCCACTTGAAGCTGGCTTGGGGAGATAGACTGTCCCACACCAGCCCCATCCCAAATAAGGAAGATGACACCAAAGAATGCTAGTTTCTTAGTGCGCGCCAGGCACTGTGCTGGATCCTTTCATGTATTGCGGCCACCTGTGACCAGAGTGTCACAGAGTGTCGCAGAGTGTCACAGAGTGTCTGTGACTCACCGGGTGAGGAACACTGCAGGGAGGAGGCAACTTCTCCAGCTCAAGCTACCATGTTCTCCTACTACTGGGGGGGTGGAACTTACAGGTCAAGAAAATCAAGAGGCTAAAAGGAACAAGAAGCAGAGAAGGAGGGAAACTGAAGGGACTGGAGACTTTGCAGGAAAAATAAAAGGGTAGAAGGAAGGAAAGAAAAAGAAATGTCGGCCAGGCGCGGTGGCACACACCTATAATCCCAACCCTTTGGGAGGCCGAGGCGGGTGGATCACAAGGTCAAGAGCTCAAGACCAGCCTGACCAAGATAGTGAAACTCCATTTGTACTAAAAATACAAAAATTAGCGAGGCGTGGTGGTGGCTGTCTATAATCCCAGCTACTAGGGAGGCTGAGGCAGAGAATTGCTTGAACCTGGGAGGCAGAGGTTGCAGTGAGCCAAGATTGCACCAGGGCACTCCAGCCTGGGCCACAGAGCAAGATTCCGTCTCACAAAACAGATAAATAAAGTAAAAAGAAAAAGAAATGTCCACTTTTGTGCTCAAGAAGAGAGAAAGCCAAGAGAAATTTTGGGAAAAACTTTTCTGAATAGCTAACCAAATTATCTAAGCAGAAAGTAAAGAAGTAGGTTGCTAGCTATTTCTTTTTCCCAGGAGGCAAATATACAAAGGAACAAAATGAGTCCTTGTTAGCCCCACTTTCCCCAGGTGCCAGAAAGGCTGGCTCAAAAATTGGTTTGGGTCCCATGATTGGCACAGGTACTGAAGCAGGCAGGAAACCCCCGACTGGGGGTGCAATTGTCCTCCCTGAGCCCCCAAACCGGCCATAGAGTCAGCTTCCTCAGAGTTTTTACTTGGTGGTTCTAGTTTCCTAGATAAAAATGTCCAAATAGTGACTTCTGAGAGTTCCTGCCTGAATATGAGACTCTTGTTGGCTTTTCTGGGCCTTCAGAGCTTCCTACTCACAGCATCAATCTCATTGAGAATCTTCCACTGCTCATAGGGCACCCCGAGAGACTCAGCAGTCTGTATGGTCCTCTTCAACTGGCTTGTCCACACTTTGAGGTCTGTTATCTCCTGTTCCGCCAGAAACTTCCTTAGAGCTTGGGCAAACTGGGGTTTAAAAATGAAAATTAAGGGTAAAAAGAAAACACACACACACACACACACACACACTCAACACACACATACACAAAGCCTGCTGATGTGGCCTGTAATGGACAATATGCATAGCCATGGTCAAAATCCATAAGGTGCTACATAGTTAATATAAACCCAAAAGGAAATGAACTTTAACTGGAGCACCCTGTACATTGCTAAGTACACAAGTTGTGCCCAGTGAATATCTGATGGCTGAACAATCACAGCAGAAATGGCTCCAAGTTATCTACACTTCAATACAGGGCTAGACGCAGTGAGCAAGAACACACCTTGAGCACTTGCCTGACTATGGAATCACAGCCTCCGTTCAAATGGGATTTAAGTAAGGAGATAAAAGAGATGACCTCAGCCATGCCCTTCTAACTCTAAGCCTAGAAAATCCAGTGTGCTGACTAATTACTCACCTGCTTTCCCCTCACGGAGAGGCCAGAGTCACCCCCAATCTTCCCCAAGAGATTGAACTCGCTTTCTCCATGCCGGCAAAGGTAAATGGTGCGAGGCTGGACGTGGATATTCATGAGGTAGTAGACTATCTTGCTCTGGATGTAGTCCTGGACTCTGTTGACTAAAAATCGCTGGCCCACATTTATCACCTTGATGAAAGAAAGATCCCTGGGACAGGAAAGAAAAAAAAAATTCCCTGGGTATGAAAATCTGAGAATAAGAATCAGAGGGAAAAGGATTTCTATAGGGACTTGCAGGCTCACAGCTGCTCTTCCTCCCCTCCTCTGTCACACCCACGTTTATGGAACCAAATGGTAGGAGATTAATTACTCCTTAAAACCAAGATGAAGTACAATTTCCTGAACTTCTAGTCAGTTCATACCATTTCCTCAGTGCCTGTACTGTGACACGCGATGTAGATAAATATGATAAACAGAATTCAGGCTTCCCATCAGGGGCTAGACTAGGTGACCTGAAGATTTTGCTGCTAAGCCCGAAATTTGGTGAGAAAAACAGGCCCCATTTGAGGCAGTCAAGACCTGGCCAGAATATGGCATGACGAGCAATGAGGGGAAGGGAAGAGGCAGCAGAAGCACAGACAGCAATGTTTATACACTCCCTGCATCTACCTAATCATGCTTCTCTCAAAGACAGTTTCAGACATTGCTTGCTTTGAGATCAACATGAGATTGTTCTCTTTATAAAAGTCATACGTGTGGCTGGGCACGGTGGCTCATACCTGTAATCCCAGCACTTTGGGAGGCCAAGGCAGGTGGATCAGGAGATCAGGAGTTTGAGACCAGCCTGGCCAACATGGTGAAACCCCTTCTCTACTAAAAATACAAAAATTAGTCAGGCGTGGTGGCGGGTGCCTGTAATCCCAGCTGAGATCATGCTACTGCACTCCAGCCTGGGCAACAAGAGTGAGAGACTCCATCTCAAAAAAAAAAAAAAAAAAAAGTCGTAAGTGTTTATTTTAAATCAAAAAATCAGAAAAAATGATGGAAGCATGCAAATCACGCATCACCCTACTACCAGAGATAACATATACAAACACACACGTATATGTAGATCTTCTGTATGTTTTTCTAGGTGGGACTTTGTTCCAAATGAAGAATACTTTTATGCCATATCTAGGAGGTGGTTTTCAGCCTCCATATTAAGGGGATTCTGGGAAACCCACTTGAAGGAACTGAAAGGCTCAAAACATTAAACAGACCACTGTATTCAGTGTGCCATGCACATTAAATGTGCCATTTGCTTGGCTGCAGGTCTGTATGGTCTGAATAGAGCTGTTAACTGCCCTGAATGCATCCATGCTCTTTCATGAGGCCACATTCTTGCAGATGTCCATGTGTACACCATCTTTCTTTAACATGAACTTGGTTTTGCTGTGGCTCATATACGTCATACATGACAAGTTAATCTATAGTCTATGCCATTCTGCCAACAAATGCTTTCATAGTAATGACAGCTGGCATTGATCAGACATTTCTCTGAGTCAGGCATGTTCCTGAGGGCTTTGCATGTTTTTTATACACACACACACACACACACACACACAGAGAGAGAGATAAAAAATATGCAATATGTAATATATATAATATGTTATGCTATAATATGCATGATATACACACAAGCATTAATATATGTAAAATATTATATAATATATATACAGTAAACTTTTTAAAAACTGATGACACATCTCCGAAGGGTATCCTACAACACTCCTGTTCAGATAGGGAGCAGTGGTTCTCAACCACAGATGATTGTGACCCCCGGGGAACATCTGCTATGTCTGGAGACATTTTGGTTGTCACAGCTTGGAGGTGTTAACTGGCAAAGGCCAGGGAAGCCGCTAAACATCCTAAACATCCTACAATACACAGGACAGCTCCTACAATAAAGAATTACCCAGTTCAAAGTGCCAATAATACTGAGATTGAGGAAATCATGCTCTAGAGACCAGAGAGAAAAAAATTGATGATAAAAACCACTTCCGGCCAGGCGCAGTGACACATACCTGTAATCCCGGCACTTTGGGAGGCCGAGGCAGGTGGATCACTTGAGCTCAGGAGTTCAAGACTAGCCTGGCCAACATGGGGAAACTCTATCTTTACTAAAAATTAAAAAAAAAAAAAAAAGCCGGGCATGGTGGCACAGGCCTGGGGTCCCAGCTACTCGGGAGGCTGAGGTGGGAAGATCACCTGAGCCCGGGGGCAGCAGCTGCAGTGGGCCCTGATTTTGCCACTGCACTCCAGCCTGGGTAACGGAGCGAGACCCTGTCTCAAAACAAAACAAAACGCTTCAGTTTTTCATGTACAAGATGCAAGCCACAAATCCATACCTTATTTCTCTGGGATGATGTTAACACATCTAGATCTATAGATGTAGGTTATCAGAAGGAAATTAGAGAACTGAGGGAGAAAGGTTATTTTCCCAGATGAGACCTTTGCCTTGGGCCCTTCAAACCATGGCCTTAAACCTTACTTGTCATAGTTGTCTGGGTCAAGGGGTCGGTAGGTAACTTTGTAGCACTCAATTCTCTTCAGGAAGTCCTCCATCACGTTCTCTCTGTTCCTTTCAGGGTAGTCAGGGCTCGACACCTTAACCTCCTGAAATCATAAAAACAGTAAAGGCCTCATCAGAGGTCTGCCCTTAACAGCCCTCCTACAAATAGCCACTACTAAAAAAAAGAAAAAGAAGTCCATAAAAGTCGCCTTTCTCTGGAACACTGGCACTCCACTCATTGAGTACCCCCTCCCCCGCCCCACCCCGCCCCGTCCTGTGACCCTGGCAACCAAAAAAGTTAAGACAACTGGGGAGTCATGTGCCTGCACTTGGCTGAAGGACAGAGGCAGTCACGCAGCCAAAGCTGCTCCTGGGCCCCAATCCCTTTATGTAATTTCCTGAGAAAACAGAACAGGCTCCAATGTTTCTCCATTACCACTCAGAATAGAGTGCTTGACCCCAGTGCCTGACTTGGGACCAGATGCCTCTTCCTCAGATGATCCCAAGTTCCTACGGCTGGGAGAGCACCTGCATAAGACCATGTACAGATATCTGCTCAGCCCAGCAGAGCACAACCCATCCAATGGGGACGGTCGTACACTGTGACCCCGCACGGCATAAGAAGCCTGATGTATAGAACACTGACTAGAATATTGGACAATTGCTGGGGAGATAACCTTCCTGTAGGTAAGTCCTGAAATGAAGAGTCTGATCTATTCTTTTTTTTTTTTTTTTTTTGAGACAGGTTCTCACTCTGTTACCAAGACTAGACTGCAGTGGCACAATCATGGCTCACTGCAGCCTCAACCTCTCAGGACAGGTTCTCACTCTGTCACCCAAGACTGGACTGCAGTTGTAAAATCACGGCTCACTGTGGCCTCAACCTCCCAGGCTAAGGTGATCCTCCTAGGCTCAAGCAATCCACCTGCCTCGGCCTCCCAAAGTGCTGAGACTACAGGCACGAGCCACGGTGCCCAGCTGATCTATTCCAACATCTAGGTCTCAGCATCCAGATAATACCCAGAACACAGGGCCAAGACTCCTACAACCTAAACCCTGGTTTCAATTCAACAGCGAATTCTTACTTGATTCCTTAAAGCCTCAGTTTCCTCTCCCAAGAGAAGAGTGTAGAAGTACCAGATGGTGCTCTGGCAGATAGAAAAGATCTTTTTGTGATGTTAAACATGTCTATTTCTCTCTTTCATTACCCAAAACACCCCTCCCCAACAAAACACACACACACATACACACAGCACAAAAGGTGAAGAGGAGATGATATGTAGGGGTGTCACCAACCAGAATATTGGCAGCAATGACATCAGGATCATCACAGACAGATTCCACAAAGAATACCTGGCCATGGAGAGAAGGCAGTGATGAACACGTCAAAAATGCCAGGCTGTGAATTAAGAGCACATGCTCATCTACCCCACCCAGCCACTACATCTCCCAGGATTTTCTTCATGAAAGTGGCCTTCAAGTCCTCCTCATAGCTCTCACCACATCCCCTGGGCCTCAAACATACAGGCTAAAGGTCTGAGAAAGGACCTGAATGAAAACACTCCAGGACGGGGGAATGCTCTGAGGGAAGAGATTCAGATATCCCATCCTGTCCTCACCCACTACAGTCAGAGATCCATGCCCATAGCATGACTCCCCACCTCTACTTATCCCTTTTCCTCCAGTGTGGAGTCAGATCCTACCTTGAAGGAATTCTGTTCAGCAAAGTTCAAAATCATGTCCCTCCTCTCCCGGGTTGTATTGGTGGCATCAAACACCTGTGAAGAAAGCACGCAAGGTAAATGAGCAGGAACAGAGAAATGGAACCCCACCAGGGCAGACTCAAGGTAGGGCTGGGTAGCCAGGCTGCTGCAAGGGTGGGGACCAGAAAGAAGAAGTAGATAAAGCTTACCGCAATCTGACCATTCTCCTCAGTGAGATATGCCTTAACATCTTCCAGCGCCACCAGAGCACACTGTCTGCCATGAGAGCAAATGAAACCAGCAAGGAGAGCTAAGCTCAAACATAGTCAGAGACACAAACATTCCGGTGGCTACAGGAGTCACATCCTGCCCACTTAGTTTCCCACTGTTCAAAACCTTTCTCTAACTAGATCTTTCCACTTTCTCACTGAGGGTTTTCACACCATCCTACAACCCCTTCCTGCCCCTGCCCCAGTGCACAGATCTTAGCCCTCTTTAGACTTCTCCTACAAGCACACAGGTATCGCTGTGAGCCCTGTTCTTCTGACCACCCAAGCCCAAAGTCACTTGCCCATCAGGTAACTTCCATTTCACTTCCCCATAAGATATTTACCGAGATGAAACCAAACCCTGTCACACCAAGTCTCACGACAGCCAAGAAACAGCTGACCTGGAGATCAGGCCTTAAACAAGACTCACTTGCGGATCTTCATGGCCTCCTCATTGTCATGCCGAAAGAAGTCGTAGGACTTATAGGACTTGACTGCTTCACGCCGATACACCCCAAGATTAAACACTGCAGAAGACACCCAAATCCTTCAGCAGCAAAACAATATGATGGCCCCACCAAACGGGACCTGTTTCTTGATCTAATGTCAGAGTGGCCAAGGGGATGAAAAAAGCAGCAGCATGGTAGGTTGGGAACAATATCAGATTAAGAGTCAAAGAGTTGGGTTCAAGTCCTGACTTTCTAGACCTTGGACAAGTCTTAAGCTGCCTGAGGTTTCAATTTCCTCAGCCACTCTGTCTATCTCACAGAGACACTGCTAGGGTTATATAAGATGATGTCCACATAAGGCCTCTGAAAATGTACAGCCCTAAGCTCATCTAAATCTTAACAGTCCTATCAAAGGCATTCCCTCAAAACTAGGCCAATCCACCCACGCCAGGAGGAGACAAGTCTGGGAATAGAGAATAACTCCAGTAAACCAGAAAGCAACTGCTATTTCTGCCAGAAGCACCCTATAGCACTGATGCCAGGAAGAAGAAGTCCCCTGGAGACCTGTGAGGCCCAGGAACTAATAATTTCCTTTCCTAGGGAATGAGCCACACTTACCTTTGGTGGGCACTCCAATCCAGTTGAGGTAGCGTGTTAGTTTCTTAGACACGTAGGTTTTACCCCGGGCTGGCAAACCAATCATAACGATGAGAGTCGGGGAGTTGGTCATGTAGGAGGCCCATGCTAGAAGGAAATGAAACAACATAAAATGAAATGACTAGGGTCCTAGTAAGGTTTTCTGGTGTTTGTTTTTTTGAGACGGAGTCTTGCTCTGTCGCCAGGCTGGAGTACAGCGGCGTGATCTCAGCTCACTGCAACCTCTGCCTCCCAGGTCAAGAGATTCTCCCCCCTCAGCCTCCTGAATACCTTGGACTACGGGCACCCGCCACCATGCCCAGCTAATTTTTGTATTTTCAGTAGAGACAGGGTTTCATCATGTTGGCCAGGATGGTCTCAATTTCTTGACCTCGTGATCCACCCACCTTAGCCTCCCAAAGTGCCGGGATTACAGGCATGAGCCACCGCGCCCCGCTGGGGCCTAGTAAGGTTTATACACTGAGCTATGAACTTCAGAGTCATAATCTCATTTTATCT